TTTATATTATTATTATTAATATCTTTTTTTATTTTCTTAGGATCTAACAACCTTGCAGAATGGATTCTGGAAAATCGAGATGTCCGGCTTCGTGTTGGTGATCATCTTCTTTGTTGCGGCGCTCGTCGGTACCATGGTAAGCCATGAATGCGGAGCAGTCGTTATGTTTCGGCCCCCTGCATTCCAGGGCCAAGACAAAAGACACGCCCTTGCTGCACCCCCAGTCATTCCACCATCACTATGGATAGAAAGAATCAGACCTTGAAACGTTGACCTGCCAACCAAACCTTTCCATACGCTTACAGAAACCTCTAATGGCCAACATCCACAGGAGGAATGTTAAGAGGAATGCAATCACTTATAGAGACTCTGTCCCTTTCACAGCAACAGCTAGAGTTGCCCACACATAGATTATATCAGTGTTTCTCATATTTGTTTTCACTCACGACACCCTTAAAAAGTATGCACAAGCTCAATAGACTTGTCTACCATTTCTGGGGGACCCCATGCCAGAACAAAAACGTGGGGTTCTGTCCTTTGCATGGAAGTCCTTCCTTCAGATTAGGAGTCCTCCTTCACATCAGGATCCTCCCTTTAATATCAGTAGCCCCCTTTACATTAGAAGCTTCCACCTTCAATGTACGCCTCCTTTCACATAAGAAGCTCCCCCTAATATCAGAAGCCCTCCTTCACATCAGGAGCCTGCCTTCCACATCAGAGCCCCCCTTTACTTTAGGAGCCCCCCTAATATCAGAAGCCCTCCTTCACATCAGGAGCCTGGCTTCCACATCAGAGCCCCCCTTTACATTAGGAGCCCCCCGTAATATCAGAAGCCCTCCTTCACATCAGGAGCCTGCCTTCCACATCAGAGCCCCCCTTTACTTTAGGAGCCCCCCTAATATCAGAAGCCCTCCTTCACATCAGGAGCCTGGCTTCCACATCAGAGCCCCACTTTTTGCATCAGAGCCCCCCTTTCATAATGGAATTCCCCCTTTTACATCAGTTTTCTCCCTTCACATCAGTAGCCCCCTTTACATTAGAAACTCCCTCCTTTCACATCAGAAGCCCCCCTTCGCATTAGGAGCCCCCCTTTCACATCAGAGCCCCCCCCCTTTCATTTTGAAATTTCTCCTCTTACATTAGAGTTCCCCCTTCATATCAGAAACTATAGATATAGCCCTAAGGAAGCCAGAAGGCCCCCCCCCTGGTGTGCCATGGCGCCCCATTTGTGAAAGTTTGCATGATATGGTCAAAAGTATGTAGGTACCACTACTACTGTTAGTATGAGCTGATGAAATGCGTAAAAAGTCTTGGTATTTTCTCGCTAGTATGAGATGCTGAAATGCGTAAGTAGTCTTGGCTTTGTCTTGTTAGTATTAGATGCTGAAAATGCGTAAGAGGTTTTGGTATTGGATTCTTAGCGTGAGATGCTGAAATGCATAAGCAGTGTGTATTGCCTTGTTAGTATGAGATGCTGAAACATGTAAGCAGTTTTGGTATTGCCATGTTACTATGAGATGAGGAAACGCGTCAGAAGTCTTGGTATTGGCCTCTTAGTATGAGATGCTGAAACGCTTAAGGATTCTTGGTATTGTCTTGTTAGTATCTTACGCTGGTCAATTGTAATCCATAAAGGTAAATGAGAGTTGTTGTTGGACTGTAGCCTATTGGGTTATCTGGTTGGATCTGAAGGGCAGACAGGAGGCCGCAGGACGTATCGGCGAGGACGTAGAGCACATTTGCCCTCCCTATGGCCCACATTTGATATTTCCCTCAGCCAGATGCATTATAAGGGATATACAGAAAGAAAGAATGGATGACAGCAGAGAAGAAAGCAAGATCGTGTGAAAGAAACAAGCCAAGCCTAAAGAATATGATCCTTGAGTTAGCACCTACTATCTGCAGGGGCCACGAGGGCCGCACAATAGGGGCCAGAGGGCCGCATGTGGCCCTCGGGCAGCAAGTTGGGTGTCAGGTAGCTAGAGAAACCAAGGCTGCTTGTAGGCTGGAGATACACAGCTGCTGGATAACAATTCAAGGACACCTTATTAACACTGGCACATATTTTCCTCTCTCTCTCTCTCGCACTCTTTCTCTCGCAACAAAGGGACTTGACATCACCGTGTCATAATACCGAGCACTGACTGTTTCCACACTGTTCCACCGCACACGCTTTCACATACAGAAAAACATGTCAGACCACACAAGGCTAAAACACCGGCAGACAATAGAAATGTGAACACACGGGCAAAACACTGGCTGTTTCCGGGCCAAAGATTCTTCCTGCCGCATCCACGAGCGCATCAACAATCACCGCACCGCCCTGCTGACAGAAGGGGGGGCCATACCAGGGTGCTTCTTTATGGTCTCAGAGGTTCTTTGTCTTTCTTTTTTTGCGGTCTCCAGGTATGGTACCTGAAGTCCCACGGCGAACCGGCCCTTTCGGACGACCGCCGTCAGTCCGTGAGCCGACAGCCCTCCTTCACGTACTCCGAGTGGACGGATGACAAAGTGGAGGACTTCATGGATCTGGAGCCCATCCCGGACACGCCGGTTTTCGACTGTCTGATGGACATCAGGGGCGATATGGACCAGGGCACGCTCAGCGTGAAGTCTGTGGGCCTCCAAGAAAGGTGATGTCTTTATTTAGGAGAGGAGGTACATTTTAATGATTATTAAAATTATGAATATTTCCGATTTGTGAATTAGAATATAGGAAAAAAGTCAATCCTGCAATAAAAATTAAAAAAGTACGCCAACAAGTTACAACTTGGTTTATATCAAAGAGGAACCGAGCCTCCTTCAGCCTAAAATTGTTGGTAGTACATTGGAGCAGTCCATAGATAATGTGCCTATTGGAGTTAGTGCGTAGAATATTTATAGTGACGTGTAACATGTGAGGTAGGTTATTGGATCTATGTAAACTCCTTATGTATTCTGCAGGCGCGGCTCCAACGTGTCCCTGACCTTAGACATGTGCACAACCGGATGCACAGAGCCCTATGGACATATCATGTCCCCAAGGGAGCAGTCCACCCAGGAGTATCTCCAAACCGCCGGCTGCGTCCTCACCCCCGATGAACTACATGAGAAGGCCCTGGACTCTTTTACCCTTCAGAAGGAGTTCTTTGTAAGTCCAATAATAAATTATCAACAGCAATGTTTAGGTGTATGTCCAGCCTACCCACCTCTCCTTTTTTACGCCCTCCCCACCTCTCCTCCCTTCCGTTGCCCTTTCCACCCCTCCTCCCTTCCCTACTTTTCTCTGCTCTCCCTTCCTCTCCTACCTTCCTCTTTTCTCCCCTCCCTTCCTCTGCTCATCGTTACCCTCATCTCTTTTCTGCCCTCCTCTCCTCCCCTTCTGTTTCCTACCTTCTCTTGTCCTCTTCCCTGCCTTCCTCCCCTCCCCTACCTTCCTCCTTCTGCCCTCCCCTCTTCTGTTCTATTCTCCTCCCCTCACTTTTCATGCCCTCTCTTCCTCTCCTCTGCCCTCATCTACCCTCCCTTCTCTCCTGCCCTCTCTTCCCTTCTTCCCTGCCCTCCTCTCATCTCATACCTTCCTCCTTCTTTCCACTCCTCCTCTCCTCTGCACTCCTCTATTCTCTCCTGCCCTCTATCCCCTCCTGTTTCCTGTCCTCTCTTCCCCTCTTCCCTGCCCTCCTCTCCTACCTTCCTCCTTCTTACCTCCCCTCTTCTCTGCCAACCTCTTCTCCCTCCACCAACATTTCCTCCTTCTTCCCTTCCCTCCTCTCCTCTCTTCTGCCTTCTCCTCCCCTATCCTCCTCTCATCTGCCTCTTCTTTCTGGTCCTCTCTTCCCTTCTTCTCTTCTCTTCCCTCCTCTCCTCTCCAACATTCCTCCTTCTCCCCTTCCCTCCTCTCCCCTCTTCTCCTCTTCTCCCTCCTCCAACATTTCCTCCTTCTTCCCTCCTCTCCTCTACCCTCCTCTACCCTCTCCTCCATCCTGCCTTCTCCTCCCCTTTCCTCCTTTCCTCTGCTCTCCTCCACCCTCTCCTCTGCCACCATCTCCTCTCTCCTGCCTTCTCCTCCCCTTCCCTCCTCTCATCTGCCTTCCTCCACCCTCTCCTCCGTCCTGCCTTCTCCTCCCCTTTCCTCCCACCTTTGCTTTGTACTCCTGCCCTGTTTTTCCATTCATCCCCCTTTCTCCCCTCATTTTCTCATCCTCCTCTCCCAAACTCCTCTCTTCTCTGCTCTGCCCTCCCCTCTCCTGCCCTCATTCATCCCTTCTTTTTTGCCCTCTCCTCCAACCCCCTTCTAATTTCTACCCCCTCCTCTCTCCCTAGCACCCCCTTTACCTATTCCTCTCCCCCCCCCCCTTCTCTTCTACCCTCACTTGCTCTTGTCAATCCCCCACACGTCTTCCACAACTCATTAAAATCACAGGCCATCAGGGCTTCTTCCTTCAAGTGTCACGATTTTTGTATCTTGAGATTTTACGTGTGGTGTTTTACGTGTGAATATTAATTACCTTCTGCTGTGAAATGTGTCTCTTTGACAGACAAGCTGATGGAAAAGAATAGATGCTCGCTGTATGTCTATGAATTGCTTGGCTGTGTTCAGTTTCAGAGGCTCGAAACACTTCCGTCCGTGTATTTTTCAGCAATTAATCTCTCCACAGAAAGATTTTGGTTTCTAACATTTCCGTCATTTCGCAGGAGATCCCGATGAACTTCGTTGACCCGAAGGAATATGAAATTCTCGGTTTAGTCCGAAAAAACAGATACAAAACCATACTCCCAAGTAAGTTCTGACCAGCCGAAGAATTCAGTTGTCAGCTATTTTGTTGGGGTGAACGGAGTGGTTTCGGTGAAGTTGATTTTGACACAAAATGCACAATTTCATCAGTGTAAAAATCCTCAATTTCAATTGCGAAGCGGCCTAGGCAAAATTTGCTTTTAAAAAAAATAAAACATTTTATTGATTGGGGGTGTGTTTTTTTTTTTTTTTTGGGAGGGATTCGCCTTCTGTTTCTTTCTTTCTGCCAAAACAAATTAAATAATTAGGCTTCTGAGGGGGCCATATTTTGGCACAAGAACAAGTCCAGTTGAAAGGAGCATTTGTACCTCCAGAAGCCATTTAAAGCCCATTGCACACTTAAAAATCCACCAAAACCACATTGCGTTTTACCTTTTCCTTTGGAATCCAATGCATTTCACCAAAATTCTGACAATTCACTTAAATCTCATTTTTGCCAAAATTTTGGAAAAATGTAAACTTACTTGGAACTTGAGGAGTGGAAGCATTTAGCTGCATCATCCAAAGATTCTTGATGGACAATCTCTTCAGTAATTTATCTGATATTTATATATAAAATAAGCCAGCTTCATGAATGTATGAGTACATTCTGGGGTGAATTTATCAAAACTGGAGCAAACAGAATCTGCAGCAGTTGCCCATGGCAACCAATCAGCATCTCTCTTCAGTTTGCTCAGGTAAGATTTGAAAATGAGAGAGAGAGATGCTGATTGGCTGCAGTGCAAATCTGCTCCAGATTTTGTCTGCTCCAGTTTTGATAAATTTGATAAATTCTCCCCTCTGTGTTTAAATTAATAAAACTTGGATCCTGGTACTCTAGCTATGTAAAGTCCTAAAGAGGATCCAAAAGAAAGATGTATAAGGTTTTTGATAGTCCAGATCAAGTTTATTAGTTGCAGGGTGTTAAAATATTACCAATGGGTTTGGGGGTTTTAAAAAGGTTCCTTCAGGGCTACAAACAGTGGTGTAACTAAAGCCATAGCAGCCCACACAGCTGCTATTATTATTATACAGGATTTATATAGCGCCGACAGTTTGCTCAGAGCTTTACAATATAAGGAAGACATTACAATCACAAGATGAGATGGCAAGGAGGGCCCTGCCCCTGAGGGCTTACAATCTAGATGGGGCCTGAGGGTGGGAAGGGGGCGCCTCTAAGGAGGTATGCTGATGCCTCCATTCCAGAAGGGATGACATCACATGCACAGGCTCATGTCCATATAAATGTGATTGCCTACTACTGGATCAAAGCTAAACTGTATATTGGTAAATTTAAGTTTGGGATAATATAATGAAGGGTTAGATCCCCTATCCAACTGTTGTCTATGGAGGGAAACCAGAAGACTTGGAGGACTTCCTTAGCATACACAATAGAACATACAGAACCCAATCACATAGTGGGATTTGAAGGCAACACAACAACGTAGCAAAACTTCAGTGTTAAAAAAAATACATTGTTGTATTTTTTATATTTTCTTTTTACTTTTTCAGATCCACAAACCAGAGTGTGCCTTATATCACCAGACCAGGAGGACGACCCTCTGAGTTCCTACGTAAACGCCAATTACATTCGAGTGAGTAGAATCCAGACCTTTTTGTTTGGGGAAGGCAGTAAATGTTTTCATGCATTGATATGTTTGGGAGTAAGTTCAGCCATGAAAGGGGATACATCAGGATCCCAATGATCACAAAATTCAATCAATCTATGCATTTGTATGATGTATTTATCTGTTTGCCTTCAGTTGAGGACAATTCTGCCTAAATGAAAAGCATCTCTCGTTCCACCTGCTGGTGACAAGTGTTAGTGCACTTTTCCAGCTTTTTCATAGACTTTTAGGCTCTTGGTCCTTGACATGCTCTTTACTAGCTGCAGACAATCTTCCTGATGGTTCTGCTCTATGCCACAGGGTTATGGAGAAGAGGAAAGAGTTTACATTGCCACTCAGGGACCCACAGTGAACACCGTTGGAGATTTCTGGAAGATGGTCTGGCAGGAACACTCCCCCATTATCGTCATGATCACCAACATCGAGGAAGTCAATGAGGTGCCTCATTTTCGTCTGCATTTGATAATCCAGATTTTTCCCTGAATAGATTTTTAAAAAAACGAGAACACCCGAATAGCTTTTAAATGGCTATATTTAGCAAAGTCTCAAATTATACAAACACTACATATATGAACAATTGACCACACCAGCCATCCTAGACATATCTCAACACGAAAGGCAACTGCAGTGAGCCGTACATTATCATACAGTATATGACCACTGGAAGGTCGGGGGTTCAAAACTCAGGTGGCAATAGACTTGACAAAGGGGTAATGCCCCCCCCCCCCCACCTCTAGCTACAATGGGTATCTACATTTTTCTATTGTCGTTGTCCTTTGTGTGTATTGCTATGTTGTCTGTTTGAACCCATGGCCTCCCAATGATCACATACTGTGTGATGAATGAATAGCTCCTTGCTTTTGCCTTATGTATAGTGATATTTAAGTCTCGGGGATGGCTGGTGTAGTCAATTGTTCACATACTGTATGTAGTGATTTTATCAAGACTTTACTAAATATAACCATTTAAAAGGTATTCCGGTGTGCTAGATTTATTATTCTTTACTTTATGGTGTATTGGGGGACCCTTAAGGAAGCCACTGTCCTTAGCTTTAGCCTCTTTGTGCGTTATATGCTATATGTATATATACAGTATGTGTTTTATTTAAGGTGTGCAGGTTTTCTGTAATAACATTCCAGATTCTTTAGAGTTTTATGTAATGACGATCAATCAATCAAACTCAGTTTTAATGTAATCAAAATCAGTGTAATCAGATTCCAGGAAAATCTCACATGTGTTTGTGGGTGAGGATGCGGGCTGGAGGGGTTCGGGGATGTGCAGCCTCCTCTCTATCCAAGAGGAAGTAAGGAGACACCTACAGTGGGAAGGGTTGGGAATGCCTGCCATGGCTCAGATAGGTGTTCACAGAATATAAAGATTTCCAGCAACAAGGAGAAGGCCTGGTACACCAAAGCTATGTCTCTATAAAGACTTGGGTAGGCTAAATCACTTCTGTTGTTGTCAATGCATAATAAATTGTTTAGCAAAGCTCATCTTTTGCCCAATCTCCTGGACAAAGACACATAAAAATAGAGAACAAGTGGTCCATCAAGTCTGCCCCTTTTAAACTTTTTTTTGGGTCTGATGATAGACTTACGTTTGTTCCAAGCATGTTGAAATTCACTTACTGTTGATTGACTTACTACCTGTGCTGGAAGTCTGTTCCAAGCATCCACTACTTGTTCCATAAGTTCACACAAGGTTACCCGTGAAGGTCATGCCTCATACTAGCAGTATTCTTGAGCTCATATTGAAAATTCTTACCCTCCTGATCCCTAATCATACTCTAATGTATTTAAAGGGTTTAATCAGGCCTACCTTTCCCTCAATAGTGGACAACTCCATCTTTAGTGAAGATTAATAAATTCCCCCACCCCTGCTAAATGCAGAACCTGGGATAATATTTACCTTCTGCCCTGATCCATGAATCTTTCTCCAGACAAGGTCCCAGCTGGTTCTTCAGATTTTCAGATTGTGCCATTAATTTCTATGAGTAAGCCTTAATCTAAAGGAACTGCTGGAAGCCACCTTGACTACAGCTTAACCATAGGAATGAATGGGGCCAATGCACTCATATGCAGTATGAAGTGGGGTCTTATACATAAGAATGTTACCACTGCAGGTGGTCTTATAGATAACCCACCAGCCATGAGTCCATATCTGCTGGGATCCATTTCAACCTACAGCACCCAGATACAAACATACAGGCTGCATTTCCGACCAACCAAACCAATAGGCAACCAGATCATGACTAAGCCTCTGTTAGGAAGTAATGCATTGAAGGGGTAGTTGTGGGCCTGGCAGGGAACAATGGGCTACATTCTGCTTCCTAAAATCTTGTCAACCAACTTCTATATTCGTGGTTCAGAATAATATGTCAGCTGACCTGCTGTCTTCCGTTTTGTGCTGTCTCCTCTAGAAATGTACAGAATACTGGCCAGAGAAACAGGCTGTATATGAAGGGATAGAAGTGACAATAAAAGACATCATCCCAGATGATGATTACGTGCTAAGAATCATGACTTTAAAGGTGAGAACAAAAATGGGTTTGTACTATCACAACAACAGAAGAGGAGATTGACAAAGCCAGGCAACAGAAGAGACAGACGAAGAAGCAATATATGATAGGATGAGACAATTTATCAGTTTTGGCTTCTTCTATGAATTCCCTCCACTAGCGGTTGGAAATAACACTTTTCAAGGTTTTGTAGGGCAAAAGATATGTTCACTGTTATGAAGTCATTACTAGCTGCACATATTCATCTCCCCTTCACTCCTCTACTGGTCAGTTAGGAAAGAGAGTAAACACCATGCAAGCTCCAAGCCGTTGAGGACTCCCCCACCCCATCCCTATACCTAGAAGTATGTGGTATTTTGCTTGGTGGCATTGGGTGGCTTGCTAGCCTCCTCACTGGTCTGGTCAAATCAAGGAACAAGGGGGGTTACCAAGGACAAAAAGAGAGGGGACGCAGTCTAATTCCCCCGCCTACATAATATAGTCTGAGTGTCTGTGGAGTTTCTCATTTATCCAGGTTATGGTATAATCTTTGACACCATCTTTCTTCCACATATAAAGCCATTTTAACATCTCTACCCTTGCGATTTGACAACAATTCACACCTGTAGCCATGTGAGTGGAAGGATTACCACATGTGCCAACCGCAGAGACCAAAGATGGGATAATGTAACTAGGACAGTAGGGTTCCACAGCTTTCACACCTCCCATCCTGTTTTTGGACAATCTCATTCTATGGTGGTTGGATCAAGGTGTATGAGTTACCAGTGTGGATATAAATACTGGGGTATCTTCCTGACCCTCAATGGAACTGAAGAAGTGGCTTAGAGAAGCTGGGAAACATGTTCAACTTTACAGAAGAATCTGGTTCAATGTGACTAACTGCTACTGACTGATATAGTCTGAGAAGACTAGAACCAAAGTTCTAACTTCATATTAAAATGACATTTAACAATATTGACATTTAATGACATTTAAAAGAGAACTATGGGGTAAGTGTTTTTCCCCATAGTTCTCTTTAGGGTCACGGGAGGACATATACTAACCTCCTCCCGTGACCCAAAGCTCAGTATATCGCGGGCAATACTGAGAGCGCCGCAGCCGGGATGGATCACGACAATACTGTCTGGATCCACCCAGCTGGCTGAGTGACAGCGGGCTCTGCCTATCTAGAGGCAGAGCCAGCTGTGCCCACCCCTTTCCACTATTCATTCCTCCTCTCAGTGCTGGAGGATTGGTGAGGGGAGGGGGGGAACCCCTGCGGGGAGCAGTGACTGACAGTCACTGCTCACTGCAGGGAGACGATCGGAAATTGAGCAGATCGATGAATGTTTCTGCTCACTTCCTGACCTGTGACGGCTTCCTTGTCACACGTTGGCTCTAACTATGAGCATGATTGGAAATCACTCACCTCATAGTTCTCCTTTAAGGGAAAGTAAGAAATGTTACAACACGTGTAAGGTCTCCTGTGCTATTTTTGTGATACAGAAAGTAATACCTTTATAATTTGTCATCGGCATAGAGTGATGGGGAAGAAAGGATCCTCAAGCATTTCTGGTACACCTCATGGCCAGATCAGAAGACACCAGATCAGGCTCCGGCACTCTTGAAACTGGTGAAGGATGTGGAAGAGGCCAGGCAGAAGGCGGAGCTTGATGACGGACCTGTCATCGTACACTGCAGGTGGGCAAAGGTTTTTTTGAACCATATAATATTTTGATCTAGGAAATTAAGGTGGTTGTAAAGTAATTATTTTTGTACATTGAAGCAAAATGGTCGACTTCTGACTAGAGGGTTTTATTTTTGCCTGCTAAATTTGGCAGGCATGTGTCCTTTTTAAGTCTAGTAAGGCCAACTAAACTCTCACCATTTTTGTCTCTTTATAGTACTGTATGCTTATTTTTTGCTAAGAAATACTAAAATACCTTTTTCTCTAAACAAAAATACTGCTTCTTGCTTACACACTGAAGTGCTCTGTGCTGGCAGAGCTGAGTAACAGCCACAGCCCTCACAACAGGAAAAGAGGGGGCGTGTCTCATCAGGTATGTTAATGAGAGCTAATTACCGAGTGCACGGAGTCTGAAAATGGCAGTTGTTAGTGTCTATTACAGGGGTGGCCAAACTCCGGCCCTCCAACTACCAATCCCATGATGCATCTCTCTCCAGGAGTCATGTCTGTGGCTGTGAGAATCTTGCAATGCCTCATGGGATTTGTAGTTCCACCACAGCTGGAGGGCCGGAGTTTGGCTACCCCTGGTCTATTAGATTGCGTATCTATACTTGTTACTTCAATTGGACTTTTGATATGTGACTATGACTGGACACAGAAGTCAATTCAACAAGACCTCAACTTTCTTATCCCACCAAATGTGTTAAGTCACTAGAGAATACAGTCCCCTTTTATTTCCTTACTTATAGGGACACGTAGCTTCCTCACAGCACTATGCCTCTGTATTGCTGTCAAGAGCCTTCATCCCTGATTGGGCTGGATCTTGGGAGGGGTTATGCAAATTTTAAAAATACATTAATGGTCAGGTGTCAGTATGGAGGAGTGGGTGTTCCTAGGCAGTCCCACATGTGATGCTGAGCCTCCGTGATTGAAAGAACTAAAATCCAATGAATGAAAGGGGTGGGTCAGGAACAGTCAGGCTGGGTAGGAAAGGGGCTAAATGATGAGGGATGTTGTCTGCCAGCCAGGAAATGAGGTGGGCTCTACCTGAATTGCTGCAGCTTCTAATACATATTGTGAGGTCAAAGTAAGCGATTTCAGTCCAGGAGAGGAGCCAGTACGACTGTGCAAGACTGAAGTGAAGGCCGGAGCTCAGCTTTAAGCAAAATGATAGCCAAGTGTTGGGCCAACTGGAAAAAGGTTAAAACCTCTGTCAAGCTTTATATCACTGTCAGTGACAGCAAAAAAACCAGCAGAGATTGTAACCCTTCCCTAAATACCATTTCAGCTGGAGTTGGGCTTTCACTGCGTATTGTGGGTGATTATAGATCATACTATCTGTTGCTCTCTCTTTATTACTTTGATATATGTACAAAATTGTCCTTGGCTAACTGTGTTCTGAGAAGCTTGATAAAGCGTTCTCCATCCATGGCTGTAGCGCTGTGCATTGTATAGATTATTACGCCCTAATAAGCTTCACCACAATTGCCACTTAGTTGTACAGTCTCTTATTGTCTTATCATTTCTCTGCACTGGAAACCCAAGGGAAATCATCCAGTTCCTGGTTGCAACAAAGTTTGTTCTACCTTCAAATTCTTTTGTGATCCAAATTCTTCTTATATAGACTGTTGTGGTGCATTACCTCCAACCACATGATACAGACTTCTTCACAGCATCCCCGCCACTCATTCCTTCCTCACAGCCAGGACTGAATCACCCAGTATTGGCTGGTGTCCGAGCTTAGAGGAAGCAGGGCTGTCTGTCCCATCTGTCATGTTACAGTGCTCTGCACAAGCTGACCCATGAGAGGAGGTCACATGCTTCCCAAACCTGGAAACTTTATTTTGTGCGAGCAGAAGAGTTGGGGTACTGCTAGAGAGTTGAGTATAAGTGGGTTTGGGGGGGAACATTTTTGCAGACCCAGTCACTTTGCCCTGAATGACGATGCTGTGCTTGAAGAGATGGGCTGTATCTGTAGAAGACCATGCTGGACTCCAAAAAATTAACCCCCCATTGGCACAGGACTTCCAGTATTGGACTTGCCTGAAGACTGGAAAAATTTAGTCTGGCTTAATACAACTTGATCTGCTGCAACATGCAGATGGTGGGGGTCAGAATCTGGTAGATGGTAGGGTCAGAATATAGCTGAAAGCATGTTCACAACTTAGTGGATGTCAGGGTCAGAATTTGGTATATGGTTGGTTCATAATCTGGGGTATCACAGGGTAAAAATTAAGTGGATATCATGGTTAGAATCTGGTGGCTGGCAGGGTTGAAATCTGGCAGATGGGGAGGTCAGAATCTGGTGGGATAAAAGGGCCAAAATATGGCAGACGGTAGGGTCAGAATCTGGTGTCAGAAAAGGGTCAGAATCTGAAAGATGGTAGGGTCAGGATCTTGTGGGATAAATGGGTGAGAATCCTGCCGATGGTAGGGTCAGAATCTGGTGGGATAAGAGGGTCAGGATCTCACTGATAGTAGGGTCAGAAACTGGTGGCATAAAAGGTTCAGAATCTCGCAGATGGTAGGGTCAGAATCTGGTGGGATAAAAGGATCAGAATTTGGCAGGTGTTACGGTCAGAATCTGGTGGGATAAAAGTATCAGAATTTGGCAGGTGTTACGGTCAGAATCTGGTGGGATAAAAGGATCAGAATTTGGCAGGTGTTACGGCCAGAATCTGGTGGACAAAAGGAGCAGAAGCCGACGTACAGAGCATGAACCTCCTGGATGAGGTGAGATATAAAGTTGCAGCGTGAACATGTGACCCACAAAACTAGGTGAACTGAGTGATACCGTCTGTTCAGCACTCTGTCAGTTCAGTCTCTAAGGAACATTTCCAGCACTTTGTTAGATCCATGTCTAAAACAATTTAGGCCAAAATGAGGTCCTACCTTGCACCAGAAAGGTGTAGCTACTAAAGTGCACTGTGGCTGTGTATATCGTCAACTCCACAATCTGATTTATCCTTACAACAATAACATAAAATCAGTTTCATTCTAGCCTCTGAGATCTGGTACGCTAACTGAACACAACCGGAAATGTCCAGTTACATGACCAGCTTCTATGAACAGGTATGCTCTGTCTTGCAGTGCGGGGATTGGAAGAACCGGCTGCTTTATCGCTACCACACTCCTTTGTAAGCAGATGAAGAACGGGGGGAAGGTGAACATTCTGCGGACCACCTGCCAGCTACGGTTAGACAGGTAGGACAATCTTCTTTAGCTAAAAAAAAATTTTAACCACTCCTTAGACCTAATTAGAAAATTAGGACATTGCGAGGCCTGTTCCTATAGGTTGGTGTAGCCATCATTGTTCTTTTCCCTGCACTCCAGTCTCGCCTTGACATTTTGTATTTGAGAGTTGTAATATCAGGTGTGTTACATAAAAATAGATTGATGAAATAAAAACTGTCAAGGTACAATGAAAATAAAAGAGATGCTACTTTGAGAAAAAAAATTTTTTTAAAAAGAATATATGATTCCAGGTTTAGGATGTTGTAAATTCTTCAGTGAAACATTTTGATGGGCAAACAGACAATAGCAAAGATCCCCTAAAAGTCGAGTCTGAAACGGTGACAGTTGCCTGTTCCTGACGAAGTAGTTAGGAGACCCCAGAGCCGTAGCTAGTTCCTTTTGATCCCGAGGCAAGAACAGAAAATTGTGCCCCCCAAAAGCCGTGTGCAGTATGTGACGTCATGCGCCCTGCCACCAAAAATGTGTTTTGTTTGACGAAACCTAATGAAAACATTTTTAGTTTCCGTTCATTTCGTCCAAAACAACTGTTTAGTCTTTGCACATGTCTAGTAATATGTGTGCATAAGTGTGTGTGTGTGTATAGGAGGAGGG